ATATCTTGTGTATAATTGCAATACAAACAACTTTTGGCTGAGGGTCACATCAGAATTCCTCACGGAACTAAAGATAAAAAATAAAATAACGAACTCACATTTGCAAGGAACATGAATATGGACGAAGCACAGAAATCCAGATTCCAAAATCACACTGAAGTCCAAGTAGTCAAAGCAAGAGCAGATAGCACAATGGAACCGAGTAACCATCCATTTGAGAACGATACAGAAGAATCGTGAGTCAATGTCCAAGCCCAACAGGGCAACACCAACAGCATAACCCAATGTAGCTCTCTCCCTTGAATGGCGCCAGGCGCCCTACCTACTCTACAGCCTAACACTACGACTACAGTATGAAAGCAACCAGACAACTTGACGACCAGCGAGTGATGATGTCAACACCAATGCCGACCTCCCACCTCCACCAGGTACGTCTCCCTCTTCACCCACTCTCCCTTGTTATCCCACACAGCGCCCTTCACCTCCGAAGAACCACCTTCGCCCTTCCTCCTCTGCGCCCTCAGGCAGCCCGGCTATGGCCGCCAGCGCCCTGCGCCCAGGCAGCGCACTACCGCTTAGCGCTTGCCTGCTTCCCTCAGCCTTAGCGCAGCGCAGCACACATGCAACGCAGCAGCGTGCCGGCCTTGCTCGCAATGGCCAAGTTCCCTGCCCACTCGCCCTGCTTGCCTATATGCCAGTGTTGCGTGTGGGCGGCCTCCCTTGAGCCTGTGCCTGGGCCCCAGTGCCTGTACCCAGGCCCGATGCAGTTGGGGCCCAGGAGATGCAGTTGCGCCTCTTTTGTCAAGGCCTGCGGCGAGATTCAGATAGTGGACCGGTTTCCCTTTGGCATTTTTGCATTTTTGGCCTCTATATCCAGCATGCAGTGTCGGCCTCACGTTTATGTGCCCAGGGCCTAACCAACTCGGGGCCCTGGGATTTCTGCATTTGCAGAGCTCCGATAATCGGTGCACACCAACCAAATGGCGTGCTGCAACTGTATGGACCCCACTTCGTGAAATGTTTGCACAGAGGGCTCTTGTTGATTTGTTGGCCCGCCTTCACTAAGGGCGGGCACTAGGCTTGCTGGGGCCTTAGCCCAGAACATGTACATCATGGCAAGGCCCCTTCTTGAGGACTCAATCCTCACACATTAAGGCACCCCCCCTTTAAACCCCTTTAGCCCCTTTCAAATTCATTTATACCATACTTGCGGCGCATCGACCCTGTGCGCCGCGCGGTGCACGGACCCGAGGTGCGCGCCGCGCGGTGCACGGACCCGAGGTGCGCGCCGCGCACCTGGGTGCGCTGTGTGCTGTGCACAGGGCCGGTGCGCTGGTGGGTGCGCGCTGGGGGGGCGCAGGTGCGCCGGGTGCGCATGGTGCGCGATGCGCGGTGCGCTGCGCTGGGGGTGCGCGCTGGCGGGGCGCAGGTGCGCCGGGTGCACACACCGTTTATTTTTTATTTTTTTTTTAATGTTTCTTTGGAGACACACACACACAC